TATATATATATATATATATAGAGAGAGAGTAGGAATTTCTCACAGCGGCTGTGGGGATTTGGGAAATGGAGAGATCAAAGATCTTAACGCTTCAAGTGGTTGGGCATTCAATGGCAATCGGCCACTCCCAGCAATTAGAAGGGGCTGCACACACACACACACACACATACAGACAGACATGAGCCGTTTTTTACACATGTTCGATGGGCTGGTCGCAATCCAAGTGCAAAAAGTGTCGCACATAAATTTTAATTAACTTTATTTTTAATTGTTGCAAATTTATGGCAAAGGCAGGCAGCGCAAACATCTCAAAGATATTGGCGAAAAAAGAAGGAAGGAAGGAAGGAAGGATGCAAGGAAGCAACTTCAGGCGCTTTGTGGGCAGGACAAAATGACAAACGAACAGAGGGACAGGCGCAGACACAGACACACAGGCGGACAGACAGACAGAACGAATATAAAGAAATGTAGAGTAGGGAACGGTAAATGGTTGGGCAATCGATTGCAGCATCGCATCAGGATGATCAAGAAGGATCCCTTTCAATTGTTTGCCAGCCGACAATTTCTGCTCTAAATTATTTGCCATAATTTCTGGCTCGTCGTCTTGTGCAATTCTTGCTGCCGCCTCACCCTCTCTGCGGCACGTCAGTCAGCCGCATCCTTTGCCTCATTCGCTTGCATTGTTGTATTTTACTTCCTCATGTTCGACGTCTCAGTCTGTCGTTCGCTGTGCGTGCGTTTCTCTCTCTGTGTTTGTGTGTTTGCGTTCGCTCTCCCGTTGTGTCTATGCGTGCGCGTCTGTATGTATGCGTGTGTGTGTGCTCTTCATTACGCCGTCTATTGTTTTGTGTGTCTTGTCTGCCTGCTTCGGCTTTTTCGTTTTTCGTTGCGCATCTTTCGTATCCTCATTGCAATTCTTATTTTTTTGGCATGTTCCAGTTTTTGCAGCCTTGCTTTTTCAGGGTCACACTCGATACTACCGAGTCGTCGTCGTCCCCCCGGCATCTCCTTCCGTCATTCGCTCTCGCTCGCTCCCTCTGCATTTCGCTCTCTGCACTCTGCACAAGATTGCGTTTTGTTCGAAATTGTCTCGTATTTGACAGTTGACAGTTGGTCGACTTTTGAGCATTAAAGTTATGAGCATAAACATGACATTTGCTTTGGGCCCGGCTCGAGAGCCGCTCTCATCCTCTTTGATTATTTATTCTATTTTAGTTTCTCTGCCTTGCACACACAGTTATTTTTGCCAACTCATTGGCACGTCTGCAATATCTGGAATTGGTCGTCCCTGTAGGCGTTTGTTTTGGATGCGAGAGCTCTTCATCTCGGCTAGGGTTCTTGGAGTTGAGAGCTGGGAGTTGGCTGGAAATCAGCGAAGCCAACGGAATTAATGGCTGATTTTATTGTAAGCCATAATTCGATTTGATTAGTCTATTCTTTCTATTGCTATAAATGAAAATAAAAATGAAATTATATCAAAATTTAACAATTTGTAGTGCCTCGACATTTTCAATAGTTATAGTTACAAGCTTCTTTATTATAACTGAAATAAAATATTACAAATTTGATTGTATGTATTTGTGCTTTATTTTTAAGAGGTATCATTACATATTTATGAACGTTCTCTATGCTATACATAAAAAAATGACAATATTGCTTTTCCTCTTATTTTATACATAGTATTAATACAGATTCTTATACACAGCATTGCCAATTAACTGCGAGCATTTGTATATGGTTTAGGCGTAGAGCCTCTCTTATATTAAGTGTTACTCATGCTTAGATTTCTCTTATTTGCATTGTCAACGGCGGTCCTCAATGGGTTAATGAAGTTCCAATCGTGTTTACATGTGTACACACACATCTACATATGTACATATGCGTGTCGATGTGTGCGTGTGTGTGCTCATATGTTTATTTGAAAATAATACTTATGCAAAACGCAAACAAAGCCGCGCGACAAACACTTTTGATGCACTTTTCCCTTTGCCTAGATTTTATTTCTTCTTTGGCGGCGCAGCAAATCAAATATCGATAAATTTCGCATACAATGCAAAGCCAACGCACATTAATCAAATTCAAACGAAGCGCAACACAATAATAAAACACACACACGTCCGTACGCATGCACATAAAAAAGGGCTGCGCTTCTATGCAAAGAGAGGCCGGATTAAATGTAAGCAGAGAAAACAGAGCAATCGGCGATTGCGAATGCGATTTGCAAATGCGATTTGCTCGAACCCCGATTGCCAGTGGGAGCGACAGAGACAGAAGATGAGGCGTAAAGTTTATGCGCCAAAGTGCCGAAGCATTTGCCACAGGCCATTGAGCATGCATGCAAATCGTACTGCACATCGGGTTAAGAGGGGGGGCGAGGGCAGCGAGTAAATGGAGGAAATGCAAAAGGCAAGGCCGATGTCGATGCCAATGCCGATGTCGAAGCCGAAGCCAAAGAGTGAAAGTCAAGTGGCTCTTTGTGACGCTCTTCAGCGCACACAAGCAAGCGCAGCGCGCAAGCGGAAGAGAGAGAGAGAGAGAGAGCAAAAGTGTGTGAAATAACAAAAAAAAGGAAATGAGAGCGAAAAAAAACTGCAGGCAATTTGCATAGCGATCGTCAAGCGGACAGGACAGAGAAAGGACAGCGGAGGGAGGGGGGCGCTCGATGTTTTTGCTCACGCTCTTCTTTTTGTGTGCGCCGGCTCGTTAATTAAGCGTTAAATCGTTGAGCACATAAAAAAGGAAAAAAATTGAAGGAAGAAACTCAATTGTCGCATGTGAATAATGTAAATTGATTTTGAGTGGTTTTATTTGTGTGTATGTGTTGTGTTTTTTTTTGTTTTTTGGTTGTAAACCGCAGAAAATGTGCGGCTTATGATAATTTTTCAAGTAGGCCATCCTGAAGGACAGCGACGGAGACAGGACACGCCCAGTTAGAAGGATGCTCGTTAAATCATATTAATCAACAGTTCCTTATGGGCATGCCTACATACATACATATGTATGTATGTACATATACATATACGTACCGTTAAATGCAATTCCTTTAAAATCCCATTTAATCCTTTTGTGTGGCTGTGTAAACAGCGGAGCAGAAAACCAAAGAAACCGAGAGAAACGTAAAGAAAGACAGAAGCAACCGAAGGGCTGTTCAAATACGAGGCAAAAAACGAGAAGAAAGGGCGAAAGAAAAAACCAATATGCGAAACCCTTTTTTGTGTGCAAAATTCCGAAATTTAACCAAAAAAAAAAAAAAGAGTTGAAAAGTTGAGAATTTTTTTTTTTGCGAACTAAGCATTCAATTAATTTACCCTTACCCCTTTGTTCAGCGATTTCGCAAAGGATCGTTGAATGCTTGTAAAAGCAAACAAAAAATCAACTTTCACCGCAGAGAAAGATCCCAGAGAGAAAGAGGTGAGAGTTATGGGCCGTGCGAGCGTTAATTGGGAGTCGAGCAGAGACAATCTTTCAACACGCTAAAATAGATCTAAGTGCAAATTGATGGCATTTCAGAGAGGGAGAGAGGAGAAAGGAAAGTGAATTCCATTTTAAGTATTGTAATTCTCTGGTAATCTTCCAGCTGTAGCTAATGCAGATCAAAACCTATTTCTAGATTTTGGCGCGATGGTCCATCGAGAGCTCTCTAACTTGAAAAATATCATCTGATGAAAGATAGGTAGATACTGAATACATGGTATCGCTAAGTTAGCTTTTAAGGTCATCAGTCTTATATAATCACAGTGTCGAAATCATGCCCAAATCCCGTTCAATTGAACTAATTTAGATGATCTCAAGCTCTGACAAGGGAGTACCGAGTGTGTTTAGTGTAGATCAGCAGATATTAGACGTTTTAGGTCAAAGATACCAGAAAACATATTGATCTAACTAGCGAAAAAGACATTAGCATCGCAACGATCATAAAGGATCAGATCAGTCAAAAAAAGGCTTGCAGATAAATCATATTAACAGCTGGCTGATGACCGATTGACTTGCATGAGCCGTGCTGCGGGACATGTGGGCAGCTCTCAAAAAGATGATCAATAATTAATAGTCAACCGATCGCCAGAGCTTAGGTTAGGCTAGTGACCCTGCTGAGCTGAGTGATCTACATAGTTGAGGAATGTGTCAGATCCTAATCCTTGGCTTAGCTGCGAAGAGAACTGAGATCCGGGCAAAGGTGTCTAACACTGTGTAGAGCACAAGCGAAACTCTTTTAAAGCCATTTGGCCATATGGCAGGACACTAATGTGCAGGATCAGCACCTACTCAATGTTTGTAACGTTTTCCAAATGTTTCCTGCGGAAGTTGCACACATTTTCAATTTCAAATTTCAATTAAAGTATCTGTTTTAGTGGTCGCTAAAGAGTCGCAATTAATGCACGATAATATTAGCAGGAGAGACAGAGGAGAGACACAGGAAGTTGTGCAACCTGTGAGCCGAACTAATTAACGTACCTGGCTTGCTTGGCTGGCAAGTGTCAACAGCAGAGCCTGTTGCTATAAAGTCAGCCAGTCGACCCCTAAGCGACATTCAAATCGGCCAGCGATGGGGGTAGGGGTCAGGGGTAGGTGTAGGGGTAGGGGTAGGCAAGCTAGGAAGCCCAGCAACTAAAGCGACAATGACGATCACTTCCTTGAGGGCAAAAGCAAATTTAATAACTAAGAGATTGCCGATAGAGATCTAGACCTCATTTGGGCGTGCCTAGGGACGCATACGACGTCCTGTGGGAAAGAAAATAATACTAGGTCTATAGACACTATAAGTGAATACAAAACGGGAGCGCCAAGTGAAATTGATCCAACGTGCACTTGAAGCTTCCAGAGTGAAAGATAGAGATGGAGAGATGGAGAAAGAGGCAGAGAGAGAGAGAGAGATAGAGAGGAGAGAGAGAAAGGAAAGTTGGGAGCTATGGGGATAAAAGCTACGAAAAGGAAGCGGAAATAAGAAACAGGCTATAGAGAAGTAAAGAGAGGTATTCAGAGAATGAGAATGTAAGAATGAGAGCGAGAAAAAAAGAGAGATAGAGAGAGGGAAAGACAGAGAGAAGTAGAGATTGTGACTTCGAGAAAGAGACAGAGATAGAAATGTGGAGAGGCTAAGCTAAAGCTAATAGGAAGCTTCAGACTAAGCAGAAATGAATAGATTTATAGAATTTACGTATGGGGCGGCACAAGAAATAAAAGATATGGGATATGGATATGGCATTAAATTGTAGTACTTTAGTTAAGGATAAGCCGAGCCGAGGAATCCACAGCAATATGGTCAATTTAGGGAATTCGAATGGGTTGGAATGTGGAGCCTTGACCAGCCTCACGTGCCAGTGGAGAACGACAGCAAGAGAGTTGAAATGGGAGAGAGAGACAAAGTAAAGAGTGAGCGTAATACCGATTGCGTGTTGCTCGCGACGGGGTGCGGGGTGCGCTTGCGCAACAACCCCTAGCGCCTGGCCTGAGAGCGAGTATAAAAGGCAGCCCGCTACCCCGAACCGATTCAGTTTGTCAGCGAACGCCGTAAGGAGAAGAGCAGAGTGCAGAGTGCAGAGCAGAGCAAAGAGTTCTGAACATAGATCGAGGAGGACACTCACACACACACACACACACGCAAAGAAATAGAACAAAATAGCGACATGCTCAAGTGGACAGCATCGACACAGCGATTGCACGAGCTGCCTGCGCCGGAGCTGCGAGCGGCTCGACGTCAGCGCCGACAGCGACGCGCCACGATAGCTAACAAGGAGAACGTGCCCAGTGCGGGCTACAACAGCTCGACGCCGCAGCCATTGGCTCGGCTGAGGAACAGTCCGCTCGTGTTGGCGCCACTGAGCGACATACGCAACTTGACGCCAGAGCCGGAGTCGGAGCAGCAGCAGCAGCAGCACGGACGCCGGGTGGTGCAGTCAGTGCGCTATGCAGCCACGTTGCCGCGCTACGAGGAGGAGTACTCGCCCAGCCTGCCGAGCGGACAGCACTTGGCGCTGCGCGGCCTGCTGCCGCTCGATCCGTTTCTGGAGCAGCCGCGCTACATGGAGCAGCTGAAGAAGCGCAAGCTGGAGGCCGACTTTCTGGCCACCATGGAGCAGCCCGTGGAGCAGCCGGCAAAGCAGGCGCGCGTCCCAGTTCAGGCAGCGCCACGCCCGGTCACGCCACAGCCCTCGACCAACATGGGCGACCAGACGCTGGACAGGCTGATCGATGCTATACTGGACTCGGCCTGCAAGCCGGATCCCTGCAGCCAGAAGAAGAAGCCGCGCAAGTCCTTCAACCTGCGCCGGCGCACGCTGCTCAAGCAGCAGCAGCAGCCGCAGCACCAGCCGGACGCCCAATCGATGGTCATATTGCCGCCCTCGTATGCGCCCGGCGATGATCCGGCCAGCGACTTGAGCTTTGCCCTGTTGCCGCTGCCCGCCACCCCGGAGCCGGTGTCGCATAGCGTGCTGGTGCAGTTGCCGACGCCGCAGTTGCAGTTGCCCAATCATTCCGACACCTTTTGCCTGGCCACGCCCACGCCTGTGCGCCCATTGAAACGGTGTCGAGAGAGGCGGGAGAGGCAGCCGGTGCCAGCGGCGAGCGTGGAGACGCCGCCCAAGCGCCTCAAGGTGGACGCGCGCAACTATTTCGAGGTGGGCCTAGCGCTGCCCTCCATCTATGTCTGAGAAAGAATGAAAGAGGGAGAGAGAGTGTGCGAGAAAGATAGAGAGAGAGAGAGAGAGAGAGAGAGAGAGCCAACGCTGACAAACGGGGGAAAACGCTTAACTATGACGCTTATTTAGTTCTTAAGTTCATAAATTAATTTTTTTTTTAAATCTAACTTCAGCTTTGTACATAAATTAGAACATAAGGTAATTTTTTTGACACTGCTGTTATGTAGTTTTTGTAAAACATTTTTTTTTTTACATCTATATATTTATTTATTTACATTTAAGAGAAAACTATTTTTTTTAAAACACCTTTTTTTTTATAATAATAAAACGCTAAAATCAAATAAATAAATTTTTCTTATACATATCATAAGTTGCTTTCCAGTGCCAGCTGTACCGTTATGGGTATGCAAATAAGTATGCTATGGCCACGTGTACAAGCTGCATTAAGTATACGAAAATAGCTATTAAGGTTATTCCAGTATATGAACAGTTTCTAGTGGGTGCTCTGTGATTGGGTAAGAGCTGAAATCGATTTCCAATGCTTTCAGCAAAACTTCATATGGAATGAGTGTAAGTATATGTGTAGCTACTTTAAGTACACATAGTTTTACGTAAGAGCATACATGAGTAAGAGTGGGTATAACTGAGTATAAAGTATAAGCTGCAGTAGGCAAATTTCAATTACAATGAGAGTAAGTATAAGTATAATTACAAAAGTATGTGTTAGAGTGCGCTAACATAACTAGAAGGGGCATACGTATAAATACAACAACCACAAGAGCAACGCATATGTATTATTATAAAGATAATGTGTGTAAGTATGTGTTTAACCAAGGTACTATGCGTTGATTGTATAAGTCCATGAATATGAGTAAGTATTAGTGCAAGAGTCTAACCTAAAGCGTGCAAATATAGAAAGAGTTGTGTTTGCTTTCCCTCCTCTTCTTCACCACACTTACATTAATACTAATACATTGAAGCTAAACACACACACATACTGCTCACAATGATATTGCTCTTATAATTAGACGCAGGAGAAGTGAAGTAGAGAAGCTTGCGCTTGCTTGGCATATACATATGTAGTATAAGTACATCTTGCTTAAGCTGGTAGGCTGATGAGAATTACAAAGCGTATAAGAGAGTGCAAAAGCTTAGCTTACAAATGACATAGTAGCAGAGTTGCTCTTTAATTTTAGGAGAGATAAAGCTACGCTGCCATTGGTGAGCGAGCTATTTCAGCTGTCGCAACGTTATGTTTTGCGGTTTTTGTTGTTGTTGCCTTTTCTGTTGTTATTATTGTTGCTTTAGCTGTAGCTGTTGCTTGACCAAGTGATTTGCTTTGCTTGGTGCGCTCAAAACAGCAGCAGGTAGTCAGAATGGGATCAAACGGGACGGCACAGCACGCACCACGCCCCCATTGTGTGTTGGCACGCAGCGGCAACAGCTGCCAGCCTAACTGTGATCCTCTCTTCGATCTGTCTCTCTCTCTCTCTATCTCTGTCTCTCGCCTACTCTCGCTCATTCTAGCTGCTGCTGTGGAGTAGCTCGTGCGACAGCAGTCGGTCGTGAGCATCGAGTCTTTGACATAACACTTGTTAACACTTTGACGCCCTTCGGAGCGTGCGTCCTTTTTTCGCACTGTAATTCATTTTGAGTGCGGCTCGCTGAGGGTACAGGTTGTTGTTGCTGTTGTTGTTGCTCTTGTTGATGTTGTTGGGCTTCTGTGAAAACCCCGCAACGGCCCGCTTAATCCATATCCAGCGCACAGGTTGCCTCTGCCGTCTGACCCTGTCGACCTGTCATCAGGCTCTCTCACATTCTTGTGGGTTTGGCTCTAATTTGTTGCCCATTTAGCCGCTGAGCGGATGGACGCGCGTTAATTGAATTATTTTTATTATATTTGGCTCTAGACGTTTCCCGGTAACTGAGTTCCTCCGAGTTCTTCCTCCCCTTCCTCTTTCTCTCTGGCTCTGTTCCCGCTGCAGGTTGCACTTGCTGCCAGCTGTGCTCACCCGCATCGTTCAACTAATTTTTTTTATTATCGCTGACAGCCACACCCACAGCCTACACACACACACACACACACACACACACATACCGACACACCCTAACCCTTTAAGAAGGAAAATTTAAATTTTCTTTAACTCATCGCACTTCCGCTATTCACATTTTCTTTATTTTCATTCTTCACTTTATTGTTTGTCTCCTTGTCTAATCGATAAAAATGTTATTAATTGCTTGTAAATGTGATAAATTTTATTGTATTTGATGGAGGGTGGGGATGGTGTTGGGGGTTGTACATCCTCTATTCCCTCAGCTCACAGCTGACGAAGCGTTAAAGTTATTTCAATAAAAATTATCAATCGAAAATATTGTGTTACTCAGACCAACTTAATAAAACTCAGGAATGCTCTTTTTTGAATATTGTAAAATTATTTATACATATATACAATACATTCATGTATATATTTAATATTATACAAACTCTTTGAAATCCATCCAAATTTTCCAAATTGAGATTATTTATTTATGATTATGTGTAAATCACTCGCGACACGTTTACGAATGCTGCTCAAAAGAGAACCAGCAAATGCTTTGATTTGAATCGAATCTAATCTAGACTTCATAGAACAAATATTGAAGAGCTTCAATGGATGTTTTCTAAATATTTTATAAAAGCCGTTGTGGAATATGCAAATGATTGATAACAATGACGAAATTGTACGGAAGGTAAGTGAATGCCAAGGACATGCTTCAGCTCTGGCATTCTCATTATGCAGTTAATCAACAGCTGGCCGCAAAGGAAGTGCCTTTGCCACAGCAGCCCGAGGCGAGTCAAACTGCTGCCAACCGGCTGACTGACTGACTGATTGACTGAGTGGCTGACTGACTGAGCTGTTGATTTGGCAGATGCCAACTCGCGATCTTCGCGCACACCTTTCGATTGACAAACTTGCCGCAGGCAATGGAACCTTTTGCCTTCAAGAATTCGCTTCGGCCCCCTCCACCTCAGCTACTGCCTTCAGCTCGTTTAGTTCGACTGCCTTTGCTTTGATCTTTTCACAAACTTTTGCTTCAGGCGACTGCCAGCTGAGAGAGTGCGAGCGTGTCTACGCATTCCCCCCACTCTCCACACTCTAGCACACACGCAGACACATACAAAAACACACACACACACTCACATGCATTCGTTAAGAGTTGACATTTGCTGCCGCTCCTGCTGTTGCTGCTGCTCCGCTTCCTGCTTGGCCTAAGCCGGCTTAAAGCGCATCCTGGCAACCTGGCCTGTCTCTCCGTCGTGCTCACTGTCAGCAAGGATGTAGCAATAATTGCCAAATGTTATGCAAACAATGCCAAAAGATTTCCAAATCCACAGGCTCAAGCGCCGCGTGTGGCATGCCTATGTGGCAACAACTTACAGCAACAGCAACGGCAACACCAACAACAGCATCAGCAACAAAAAACCATTAATATTCAAATCCCCCCGCAACGTAACACCCGAATCATCAAAGGAATCCATGTTGAATGCAATTGATCGCACAGTGAATACCCTAACTCTGAGTGCAATGATGAATAATAAATGATCTGAATAACAATATGAGTGAACACAATGAATATACATACATATATACATAAGTATTTATAGAATCACAATTAATTAATTGAATTATATAATAAAATAACTGAAGAATATAATATTCTAGATATATGTATGTATTTTACGTTGTGAAATGCATATGAGAACCTATTGTAGATAATTTAGATGGATATGAATCAATATTGAGTTGCAGATATTAAGTTGATATTTTAAATCTATCTATAATATCATATAGTAATATAATATTAATCTATAATATAACAATAATTTTAATAAATGTATTCATGCTACCCATGTATCTATAAAGGTATACTTTTATTTATATTTCTAGCATCCTCAATATTCATATAATCTATTGTATATACATATGTATAAGTATCTGTGTGCATGTATGTATTCGTATTGCATGAATATAATATCAATATTTAAATAATATTGGTAAGTGTCATATCATATAAATATATCATTCCATATTATCGCATTAAGTTTAATGTTTATTAAGTATAGCTATATTTATAATATATACATTTGCAATTCTATAATTTATGTTTATTATATCAGTATATGTTGTGATAGGGCGATAATAAATTATATTTCTGTAATCTCTAAAATAAGTAAATCTATTAGTGAGTATGATATCCATATATTATTATATATGAAAAGGTATATTTAAAGACATCTGTAACATCTGTATTTATAATTCTTAAGCACACTCGTATACTGCTTGTAATATAAATATTTATAAGATATATTACAATTCGACAATCTATAATATAAAGATACATGAAATCTGTAGCATTATATTGAATATATTGAGACTATATTTAGCACCAATATCAATATAAATATGATTTAAAATAATAAAGTAAATAATTTAACTTAATTTTATTTTTGTATACAAAATTGTTTAGAATAGTTTAGACAACCTTACTAAAAGCTTATATCGATAGGCATCTAGCAGACACGCTGCACGCTTTGCCACGTCATGCAAATACCCCATTAGGTTAGGGTATATTCGAGTGAGCGAAAATGTGGCAAGGGTAGCTCAGCCTCTGCCTCTGTCTCTGCCTCAGCCTCAGCTTCAGTGTAATTATAATTCATTTTCGTTTTCGTTTGCATTTTCATTTTCATTGCTGCCTGCGCCCCAAAAAAAAAAATTATAAAATCTGTTAATGATAAACAAATTTTCCAAAGGCAGAAACTAGATGAAAAGGGTTGCATGCAGGACGCAGCCACTGTTGCTGCCGCAGTTGCTGCTGCCGCCGCTGCTGCTGCTGCTGCTGCTGCTGCAATTGGCAACCGCTGCGCTGCCGGCGGCGCTTTGCAAATTTTCAGCGCGTTTAGCTAATTAGCTTGGTGCTCGCTGCACGTAGCACGTAGAGCGTCGTGCGTCGCGCGTTGCACGTTGCACGTTGCAACGTAATGTGTGCTTGCTGCCACGTCAGCTGCCGTGCAGAAGCCAGAGGCTGTTCTTCTTGATGAGTGGGCAGTTGTTGCCACACCAAAAGTCAACACACACACACGCACTCACACACATATGCTTACATACACTTCATGTGTGCCACAATGACGTTGCAACTTTAGTGTGCGCGAGTGTGTGGCATGACAGTTGGCTAGCGCATTGCGCGTGCCCAGCAGCTGGTCATGTTGCCACTTCGAGGCGTGTTCAATGTTGCAA